AAGAGTGGGCTGGTGGAGACTATGGAGTGAGAGTGGGAGGTACAACCCGAAGCCACAGCTTTTCATCACATTATTAACCTGTACACTCGATGAGCAGCTCCCTGAAGGAGGCCCTGTTCTTCTATCTCAGACCTCAGCTCGCTCAGCCGTGCATCCAGTTCTTTCTCCAACAGCTGGGTCCTTTCTGTGGAAGTGACCTTATAAACTTCATCCATGGCTGTCTTCCTGTAGCCCTGAGAAGGAAGAGCACAAAGCTTGTGGCTGACTCCCTCAGTGGCCCTCACACCCCTTGCACACTATATGAGATTTTATTCTACTCCAGGAAATCATGTGAACTTAATGGGAATGTGTGGAGGATCACCTAGCAGCTCTCCTTGAAAGAAGAGCGATTATCTCCATTTTGGCTGAGCCTGACCCTATTTCCTTGTATTGATATGTACAGAGCTAGCTAGGACTTCTTTTTATCCTTTCACTTGGCCTTAAGCAATGTATATTGATCTAGCCGAGGTGCTGGTGGTAATTTTTGAAGATGGCATGTGTGTTTGCCTGATAACCCACACCTGCTGCTCTCCAGTATGAGCTGGGTTGAGATAGGACAAAGAGCCAGTGCTCCATGCTGTCCACAGGGATTGAGCCTTGAGATAGAGGCTGCGACTTCCTGGGCTTGAAAGATTACACATCAGAGCTGAAGCACCAGACCCTCGAAACATTAGATACTATTTCAATATCATAATGTAAATTACTCTGTCTGTATATGACAGAGGTAAATGCAGGCCACCCGCCTAGCCCAGCTCACAGTAATCACCTACTTCCCACAATTCTCTTCCTCAAGCCACTCCTCCTTCTTGGTTGAATAAAACCTGGGTGTGGCCCTGGGTCACTCTCTTTGCTCCAGAAAGCTATCTTTGTGACTGGACTTAAGGCCCCTTGGATCCCCCCTAATTATAAATATGTTTTAGTGACTTTACTTTCACCAGGGGTTGCACTGGGAGTGGTAGATTTGAATTAACTTGGTGGGATTCCAATAACATATCTTTGGGATTACAAGTATTGACTTCTTGGATTGAGACGAGAACCTGGAGGGCACTCCTACAGGAATGTACGCTTTTACAATTTCAAGAAACAGGTTGGACTTTGTCATTTATGATTTAACTACCGTGTAATAAACCATTCAGAAAAAGTAGTTTAGAATTTCCATTGGCCATGGCTTTATTTGGCTCAGTTCTCCTTCAAAAATGTTGCTTCTTCAGCTTTGACTGTATTTTATTAAGTGAGACGGCATTCCCTGGCCATCTCCGCATCTTCACAAGGACTACGGGTTCCACCTTAACTGCAGCAAGGGGTAGTTAGTGCTGACTTCTACCATCACTTTGGCTGGAACAATTCTCTGTACAGCAAGAGTATTTCTCCATGAGCTTTGTTGAAGGTGTGAACTTCCAGTGCATGGGACAATATATGGAGAATGGAGAGATATTCAACATAAATATGACATATACACACTTAGGTTTAGAACAAAGTTACAATTATTCATTAGAATGTATTTTCTTCATCAACCAATAGCAAATGTTAGAGGGGCTGTGGTGGAAAGGAAACTTCTCCATTGTTGCTGGAAGTGCAGACTGTTTCAGCCACTGTGGAAATCAGTGTGGAGATTCCTCAGAAAAACTAGGATTAGAGGTCTCATTCAACCCAGTTATTCCCCTTCTGAGTATTTTCCTAAAATTAGAAAACATCATACCACAGAGATATATGTATACCTGTTTGTAGCAGCACAATTTCTCATAGTTAGATCTTGGAAACAATCCAAATGCTCATCAACTGAGGAATGGATTTAAAAAAAGATGTGGTGCTTTTATACAATGGAGTACTACTCGGCCATAAAGGAGGATAAACTTAAAATTTTTGCAGGTAAATGGATGCAACTAGAGACCATACTCATAAGTGAACTAAATAAGACTCACATGTGTAAACATTGTATCATCTCCCTAATGTGAGAAGCTGAACCAGTAAACAAGGTCTGAAATGCACAATGTACATTGGGAAATGAGAAGAAACTGTTCAAAAGGAAAAAGCAACTAGACTGGGAGAAAGGGAAAAGGAAGAAAGGGAAAGGGAGAAAATGCAAGTCAGTTCTACTACTAGTGCCCCTTAGCTCATTAAAAAAGAAAGTCCGTGCTGATGTCAACTGGAGAATTAGTTATGCTCAATGTTATTCTGAGTAACTATTTTAAAAATAACAATATACAATGTATTAACTATTGTTATTCTCTTATTATTAATTTTTGTGTGTGGTACTATTATTTTGTTGTGAAATTTTGTTTTACTTTTTTCCATAAAATAAAAAAAAAAATAGAATGTGTTTCCTTCATTTGGATTGCCTACATTTGATGTGCTGATTTTATTGTGAAATAAAAATAATTGTCAGTTTCTAATATAACCTTA